TATATATATATATATATATATATATATATATGTATGTATATATATATATATGTATATATATATCAGTTGTATATTTTGAGTTCACTGTGACTGACCAACTCTTTTGTTTTAACGTTAAGTTATTTACAGCTGTAAAAAAAAATACATGCATACGCTCGCTTTTAAATTAGTCAAATGTTATTTTAATTGTTTTTGATTTTCTCTCAGGTCATCATGTTGTTATTGTTATTATGCAATGTAGGCTAGACTCACGCAAATTTTTCCCCTGCACACCAACATCCTGCCCTCTGGGGATCGTGTTAGTTCCAAGTACAGTGCCAATTTGTATTCTAGTTTCTCTAACACCCTTTCAGACTTCCAGGAAAGCTATTTCTCCTCCCTCCCCCGAGCATCGTCTCCTTCCATCCACTCTTGGGAAGTCACTCTATCCGCTCACAGTAACCTCAGACAGATACCCTGCCATCTTGGCTTGTTGCTCTGGAGGTTGAAATTGTAATCGTGTGATTCTGGTTAGTTTGCCTGTTATATTAGCAAATTAAAAAATATTTTTAATTTTAATTTTAATTTGTAAAAATAATAATTTAAATGGTAATGGATCTACTTAAACGTGCAGGATGTTAAATGTTTATATTTAGTGTATTTTTACTCATAAAACCTACAAAGAACTAAATGGGAAAATTTTCCGTTCTGTCCCAAAAGGTTGAAATCTGAACTTCCCACATATCCACAATGTAGTTTTGTAATTTAACAAATATAAAGTGTAATATTCTCTTTAAAGTGCTGAATTGGTCAACATTTTTTGCAGTGAATATATTGGGATAACATTTTCACCATATATAAAGAAAAAAAGAGTCCATAAATTGAGTACTGTGTAATAAAGTGATATGACACAGGGAATAAGAATTGAACATGCTAGCTGAAATGTATTTTATACTTGCTAAAAAAGTCTTTGTTGCTAATGACACCTTCAAGATACCTCCGGTACAGAAAAACTGCACTGCTCCGATGTGATTTTGGTCCATTCTTCCACACAAGCTGTCTTCTGATCTTAAACGTCCACCATCATTTCATCTTCAGCATCCTGGTTGATGGCAGCAGATTCTTGTCTCTGTACATTGCTCCATTTATCCTTCCTTCAGTTATATGAAGTCTGCCAGTGTCTTATGTTGAAAAACAGCCCCGCACCATGATGTTCCTACCGCCAGGCTTCACTGTTGGTGGTTTATGGGTTGATGTGCAGTGCCACAATGCTCTGCGAGTGTAATATGTGGCTACATACTACAGACTATGTATAAAAGATGGACCTAACCACAGCTGGGCAATGATGGCAACCTTATGTCCATAACAAACCTGTTGGTTTGTGATTTCCACATTATGAAGCCTCAACATTAGATATAAAAGTTACTATAATAGGTGAACTAAGTAATGCTAGCACACTGCATCCGTAAATCGTGCATATTTCATGCACAGTCACAAATAAATGCTAATTGATGCCAAATAACAGACTAATAAAACACTAATTTTACTCACCATGCCCAAGCACTCAGGGAGACACCAACACTAAAATAGACGTCTATTTTCAAATTACCAAAGGTGACGCCTAACTGATGGCTGCTAGCTTCTTCTGGGCGTGCCATCAGTCAAAGCTACCTCGCCTTAGTACGCCCTAAAAAATTCCAAACAAGTGAGTAACACAAAAATTCACTTACCATACAGTTATAGTAAAGGTGAAATTGATATAGATGTTAAATAAAGTGTTTGCACTAGGCCATAGACCTGTCAGTGTCACTGCTAAAGGTGGATATTTTAACATGGGAGTCTCAGTGGATCCACTCTTGGACGAAGCCTCATTTGTTTTTTTTGGCGTAATTTTTCGTCACCAAAGTTTTCTGCTTGTTAATTACCCATATAATTGTGTTCATTGTAAGAAAGTTTGTATGCCTGGATGAAACTACAATAAGCATGTCTTAAACACTGTGAAATAAGAATTTTTCTCACTCCTAATGTAGAGAGTGAGGCCATTCGAAATGACATGGGTTTCTTTTTGAAGTATGTCATGAAGATATGTCTGTTAATATATCATAAGGCTGTTGAGGATGCCATCAAAGTTTTCCAGAAGATTGCATTCTCTGCTTTATGCCATCTTTAAATACATGCTCTGTTCTACTCTAATGTGCGTCTTTTAGGTGTCGGCGTCTGCTGTTCTGGAGGATGGTGAGGCTCTGTTTGCTGATATGGCACTATGCCTGGAGAAAACCAAGGCGGAGGTGAGTAGCAGGAGCTAGAAGCATAAGTTCTAATATTGCCAGTATTTGCAACAGTAGCAGCTCTGAGGAGAATAATGTGAAACGTTCACAGTTTTGTAAGGGAATTAAATCTTCTGCTTGTGTGCTGTAGGCCCGAGCAAGGCTGGAAGCGAAAGAGCGCGCAATCGTGGCGAGAGCTGAAAGTGACATAGAGCTGATGGAGAAGGACCTGGAGGAGCTGAGGAGGCGAGACGAGGAGATCAGCCAGCTGCTGCAGTCTGAGGATAATGCTCATTTCTTACAGGTGAGGATGAATGCAGTTTGCTGGTTACAAAGGGAAGGAAGTTTGTTACATTATTATATAAGTTTGTTCATGGAAAGACACTAGGTCGGCTTAAAAGTCATTCTTTAATATCACTTACTTATAGGAGACCTGTTATATGTTTCCTTATTTTCTGCCATATGCTGACATTAAACATGGCTAAACTTGACAATCATGAGGGACACATAAATACATGTGATCTTTGTGAGGCAAAAAGATTTCAGACTGCTCTAAACGTTCAGTTCCCGAAATATTTTCCTTTACTTGTGGTCCTCTATGATGTCACTGAGATCAAACATAGTCACCTAAGGCAGCGGTCCCCAACCCACCGGGCCTCGGACCGGTACCGGTCCGTGAGTCGTTTGGTACCGGGCCGCGAGAGTTGAGGCTCAGGTCTGAAATGTCTGGTTTTCAGGGTTTTTATCGGTTTTCAGCGTTATTTTGTTATCGTTTTTTCATTAACTCAGTTTTCCTGGGTCTTTTCACGTGTGTTATGAATAAATCTTCTTTTTTTCTGTACTGGTACTAGTTTTATTTTGTTGTATTTATCCGCGACACCTTAAAGGCCGGTCCGTGAAAATATTGTCGGGCATAAACCGGTCCGTGGCGCAAAAAAGGTTGGAGACTGCTGATCTAAGGCACACAGCTCTGGTTATGAGCACAGAAGCCCCTCCCATTACCTACCAAACCTTCTGTTTCTGAGTCTCAACCAATCAAAAAGAAGAAAGCTTAAAAAGAAGGTGGCCACACAGGGAAAGGAGCTTAAACAGACAAGACAGAAACGAATTTGGGTAGCTGCACCAAGGCCTAATATAAGATGCATACACTGCTCCCAAAATTTAAAAAAAAAATATATCAGATTTCAGTGAAGCAAGCAACTCACGATGGATATTCTTACTGATGTGGATTCAATAATGTGTTAGGAATTAGAAGATGCCACATCATTTAAAGGAAATGAAAAGACACATCAAAAATCAAAATGAACAAATAATGAGGTAGGTTAGTCCATTTTGATAAAATTTAATTGCAGCAACTCAAAGTAGTACTCAGTAGTTTGTTAGGCCCTCACATGCTTGTATGCATGTTTTTGGCAACTCCAATACAGTCCTTGCTTATCACCTGTCCTTCACAGCTAACTGAAACAGACATTGTAGGTCACTGGACACAATCCCATGTGCATCATGAACATGCAGGTGCAAGTGTTCGGTTTATTGGTGAAGTTGTAGAACTTTGTAATTCCATGACGGGTGAGAACAAACTGATAAAATATTGAACTAACTTCAGAGTAAAAGAAAGAAAAGACTTCATTCTCACATTTGAGACACTGGGGCTATCAGATGTTCTCAATTGTTTCCAGAAAATCATCAATTATCCAAACGGCTGCTGATTGATTATCTGTTATTGGCTCATCAATTACAACAGAATTGGTTGCTGATGTGCTTTAAAGGACGCCTGCACATCGCCCACTTTTACTCTCGATTGTTCTCACTCAGAAAAATCAAATCGTTAGCAGCTCTTGTATTGGATACTCACCCATTACTGTTAATGCATCCTGGAGGACATAAGAACTCACCTGAGTGGGTACTTAGAAAGATCCAGTCAGTGTGTGAACGAGTTATGAGCAGAAAGAACGGATGAAAGGAGAGAATGAGTCAGCAGTGGCTAGTGGAAAAAGACGGCAACTGCCTAAGTGTTATTTTCAAATTTAATTGTACGAGGAATTGAGGGTGGAGGGTGGGGGGGAAGGCGGGCCAAATCTGCAGCGCCTGGAGTATAGTTTCCACTCTTTTCTCATCGGCTCAGGCCACCCAGCTGCTCTGCATGCCTTTCGCCACTGGTCGGCACTCCGGCACCCTTAGCCTGCCCACGGAGGCCTTCAGTGGTGCCAGGAGAGCACTGGGCCACCTCCGTAGCCACATAGAGGAGGTCTGCAGGGAGGAGGTCGACAAGATCACCCCCGCAGGTAGGTACCACCACCTGGACTCAGGATGAGCTTCAAAGATGCTAACACCGACTCACAGTTAGGGATGGGAATTGATAAGAATTTAGCAATTCATTATCAATATGACTTATCAATTCTCAATGGCTCTCAATGAGAATATCACATTACCATTACATTCATGGGAATTAATAGCATGCCGAGTGGTCAAATGTTTGTGCATGTTGGAGGTATTTCTCCTCTTTGTTGTGATCAGTGTTGGCGTCATTACTCAAAAAAGTAAATAAAAAAAGTTATTGCAGATATTACACAGAGCAATTTTCTAAAAAGTAACAACGCACGTTACTTAATTACACCCAGGAGAAAGACATTTGTTATACTACTCATTACGTTCCTTTCATGTTACTTTGTAAAATGACCTGAAACACTGTCAACAATATAAACCTACAGCCCCACACACCAACACAGATCCCTGTCCTGATGAGCACACACGTGACTCTTAGTATTTTGGTGTCAACACAGAGCTGACAGCACAAATCAAAGATGAAAACCAACACAAAGAGACTTTAGAGCGGTCGACACAGGAGTTCTACTTTAGAAATGTGGACAGGTAGAAACAGGGGCTGCAGCCTGACTGCTCATCAGTTTGTTACCTGTTGAAGTTCAGCAGCGGCTGAGTTCACAGCAAATGATGGCTCATTTTAGCACAGTGCTGGACTTGGTCAGCATTTACTCAGCTTTAACGTCAATCTGGGCTCTTGGTTAGCTTAGCGTTGGCATTCTGTCTTTGCAGGCGCTTGCTAAGAGCCAAAGTTGTAATGTAATGTCCATATCCACGCCAAAGACACACGAACTGAAATCAGCTGGTCGTAGCAAGAGTGCAAGAGGAATCGATAGGCAGGAAGATTCCAAGGAACTGGCCTACTGGGAACCGGTTTTTGTAGAGAACCGGTTCTCGATTCCCATCCCTTCCTATGGTCTATATTCGGATCATATCACAAGTCCATTTATGGATTCATATACATATATGAGCTGTATGTGCACTGTATTATTATTATTATTTTTGTTATTATTTCTCTTCCAGTTAATGATAACTACAAATCTGGTGGAGAGCATGTAAAAAGTAAGCACAACAAACACGACACACACAAACATGCACAGTCAAAGCTCAGGGTGACCCGTTTTTACCAGGTTTTCCATGACCTTTAACACCGAGTGGAATTGTTAATCATTGATGCTGAAGAGGACCAGGATGAGCTCCTCTCTATTCTAATCTGTTCATTTTGGTGTCATTTGAAGCAGCACCGTCCACATTATATTAGGGGGTTAGCACAAAGATAGTGGAGCTAATTAAGACATGATGTGATTAAGGGATTGTAGTGTGGATCCATCAGTGTGAGCACTTTCTGCAGTAGTCTCCATATTATAGAAAATATTTCATTGCTGTAAAAAGTGTGAAACAGTTTTCTTGCAGCAAAACCATTACATTAAAATTCAGTGTGTTAAATACGTTGCAGCTGTTTATGGACAAACTTCGGACATTTTATCGTCCCATCCTTTCACTTTTTTATAAGCATGTTAGCACGCTGAGATAGTGGACACTGCATGTTACCATGTTGCTGATAGCATTTTTCTCAAAGCACTGCTGTAACTGCAGCCTCAAAAAGTTGCCGGCATAACTGCAGATTTGTTATTAATTCATTTTTTATATTTTTTTCCTAAGAGCTGTTTTAACCTCCTAAGACCCAAACTCTTCCATGGCAGCATTTTTAATTTCTCTTTGCTATTTGGGCTGATTAGGACCTGATGAATGTAGAAACAAAGAATTACGTGATTTTTTTTTATTTTTTTTTTTACCTTATTTTTGTTTCTGAGAAAAATGAGATTCACATATGAGGACATTCACATTAAATTTCGATAGAACAGTGGCAGTGTAACGT